TGATTTTGGTTCATTAGAATCGTCTTATCAAGACTAACATTTTGGCAGTTAATTTATCCAAATTGGACTAGTAGATCAAAAGTTATTCAATTTTAAAAATTTTAAAAAATTTAAAAAATTTTTTAATAATTAATTAAATGGACCAATCAGAATCAAGATAGAGGTGATCACACCATACATGAATAGAAGTGACTACTAAGTAAAAAATATTACATAATAAATGACACACCCTTTATTTGTAAAAAACCATGTCTACCAAGTCTAAATGATATAAAATATTTTAAGCTTTAATGAAAAAAAGAAAGCCTAACTGGTGTTTATAAATTACAATAAAGATGGAACTGGTTAGAATATTAAAATAGAAGCCATATAAATAGAAGTCATGTAGTATATTATATATTTATATTAGTTTTAATTTACAAAATTGATTAGTACCTATTTTTATAAATAATAAATAATATACTGATCATACTGAAATCAATATCTTATAGAATTAGCAGATTAAACATTCAATTAATTTTTATAAAATATTTCAGAAATAATGACAATAGCTACAATCTTCAGTAATCATCATTTATAATTCCATATTCTTGCCACCTAGGTGATTTTTTTACAGCTATTTTTATTATCTCTGAAGTACCTGATAAAATTAACTGAATGATTTTCAACTTATTCAACTAAGTTATTGATTTCGACATAATTGGATATGCATATAATTCTGATATATACATATAGATTATATTAAAAATAGCTATAACCTACTCAGATAGCTAATAGCCTACTTGTCAGATTACCCATCTGGGTTTTAGCTGGGTGGCTGATGACCCACTCGTCAGATGCCTCAGGTGGCGTTTTTTTAGATAGGTCTAATTACTAAGTATAGCTTTACTAAGATCCTGTATTACTATATTATAATATCAAAATCAAAAAATTTAGCACCTTATTTTACTAAAATTTAGCACTTATTTACTAAAATTCAACACATATATTTATTTTTTATTTTATTTTATTGTTTATTTGCAATTTTTTTTTTACTTTAGCAATCCTTCCTTTATTTTATAAATTAGCAGCAGATTACAAATAGATATCTCAGTTAGCTAAATCTACATTATCTGTTATAAACTGTTTTATATCTGTCTAAATAAAAAATCTTTTGATCTGTCTTATTATTGCAACATAATCCTAGTAAACCAAAAATTAAGTGCTAGAGTATAACTTAGAAGTGACCTGTCTAAGTGAATATTTTTCTTTACTAAAATCTTCAACTTTTTAAGAATTTGATTTCTAGTATCAATGGATGGTTTTTACTGTTATATTCTACAAAAAGTGCTGCCAATCTAATGACACTTTCTTGTAGAGAAGTAAAAAAGATAAGTGTAGAATAAAAAAGAGTAAGCAAAAAAAACAAACATATAAAGAAAACAACCAAATTATAAAGGAGTTAAAAGACTATCCTAAAATCTAAGAGAACTTGTCTACAGATATAAAAATCTGCTGACCAGATAAAAAACTATCTATATGGTCATAGAAATCTACATATAGAGCTGGCTGATATAAAAACAAACTAAAATACACTTTAACTTGTGCTAAAGGCTAAAAATTATATGCATATGACTTCAGAATATTGCATATCTCATATAGTGTTCTAATTACAACTCTTATATAAAATTCAACTTAGGTTTTAGAACATTCAACCTCAAAGTCTCACACGTAATTGTTAGTTTTAATTTTAGCCTTAAAACTTCTTTATATATATTTTGTTGTTTTCCTTATTCATTATATTGCAACTTGAGACTTTTTAAAAATAGAAGTAATAAACAATGCTGATCTCTTGCTGATCTTTTGAAGAGGTAGTTAAATCTCTCACTTTTTATTAAAATTTTGAAAAAAAGAATAGTGAAGAAATATAGAGATTTTGTAAAATTTAACTATAGTGAGTATTTTTCAGATTGTTTTTTGTTCTTCTTTTCTTACTATCTACAGTTTCTTTTTTATTTAATCATTACCAGAATAACTCTTCTGGCTTGGATGTCGAATATAAAAGAGAGACTACTAAAAATAAAAAAAAGCTTAACCTAATCTAAAAACTGCTTCTCTAACACTTACTCCTCAATGTATCATATTAAAGACTTCGTCAACAATGACTGAAAGAAGAAACTTAAATAGTTTTAGATGTTAAACTTCAAATTTTTCAACTTAAGTTGGTTAAGAATGGTTGGTCTAAATGATTGTCAGAAATAATTATTTACTGTATAATTTAAATTTTCAACATTATTAATTTATTATATACTGTATTTTTTTAAAATTCAACATTAATATTAAATACAATTTTTAAAATTTAATGCTTCTATATATATTCATATATAGATTTTGAAATTTAGCATTATAATATGACTAGATGTCTTGCACTAGCTCTTCAACTTTTGTTAAAAGCCCAAGAGTGATTTACTTAGTAAAAAAAAGTTTTAGATAAGGGTGTTGCACATTCAGGCTTATAGTAAAATTTATATATATAAAAAAATTTTGTTCAGATATCTCACAAATTGTCTATTAAAATATAATTATAAATGCTAATAAAACTAATAAAATGATAAAAAACTAGTAAATTTATTGAATTTGTTCAAAAAACATTTAACTTCATATATATTTAAATTATAATATTTTGTAATTTAGTAATCTAATTTTGATGGTTTTGGTATTACTTAATAAGATGATTTAAATATGTAGTATATACCAAAATTATCAAAATTTGGAATTATAGCAGATCAGTATATTATAGGCCGAAATTAAATATCAATATAACAGCAAATCAGATTTTAGATCGTTACCAGTTTCATTAGCGTTATTTGGTTTCACCAGCATCTATAGGCATAACATTATATAATTAGATGATTATGGGCACAAAAATAATTTTCGAAATTCGATTGGTGAATTATTGGGATGCGTTATACAAGCGCATTGCCTAATTATCTATAAATAATATTAATCATAGTTTAATCATATTGATATATGTTTAAAATGATTTTAATATATTCTACATATTTGTATACATTGTTTTTAATAAACAAGAAATATTACAAAAAGATGATACCCGTCATAAGTTTTTTTTTTTTTCGACTACGTATTCGTGAATCTGCAGATATTCATGTGATTCAAAAAAAAGTTTAGAAATCAAAAATTTTAATTGTTTGTCAAAAAAAAAAAAGAATAATCCTGATTTGGAATACAAGGTTAAAACTACATAAAACGCGATTTCATAAATAAATTAGGCACATAGGTAGGTAGGTAGATACGTATGTGCGTAGCATTACTAAACAAAAATAAGCATGCAGTGTTAAAGAGAAGGCGCAACGAAAATTTAAAATTACCAAAGAGTTTACAATAATGTATAAATAGATAAGCGCCCTAACGCTAACAATAAAATAATATATATATTTTTACAAGTATACTTAATATCACGTGTATATCCTTTAATTTTATATTACGTGCTATCGCTATTATCATTATATATAGCGACAAATTTACACTTAATTTTAAGTAATCGTAATCTAGAGTTATAAATATACGTACGTATTCACAATTATAATATTCCTGTATGATGGCAAAAAAATATGTATTTGAATTTATAAACAGTGGATGACTTTTTTAATTGATTTTTTTTTACACGTTGTTTGTTATATATATATATGTATAATGAAAAAAAATGGTGTCAAAAAAGAATTAAAAAAAATTTTACAAATATAAAATGAAACAAATGATGTATAAATGTTTTTTTTTTTTTTTTTTTTTTTTTTTTGAAACAAAAAAGATTAATGGTAGGAAAATATTTATAACATTAGAGTAGGTAATACATATGCAGATTGTGAAAGTTGTGATGGAGGTGGTGGTGGTGAGGATGATGATTGGTTTGGTGGGGGTGGAGGAAAAAGAAATTGATTTTGTGGCATAAAGTTATTAATATTACTATTATAACCAGTCGTGTATTTGCGACATCTTTCAATAACCTCAATTGAAGCTTCAAGTATTTGAGTATGAACCAAAGTATTTGATTTTCGCGCATCCAAAATCTATAAAAAAATTTAAAAAAAATTAGAATTTTAATTTAAAAAAAAATTTTTTTAAATAAGAGTATATTTTTAACTGTTAATAATTACCTTCCACTGAACTTCTGCCAATCGAGCAAATGCATCTTGTAATCTTTTTTGCCATTCAGATGCACGTCTACTTTCATCATCATTACTACTAGCTCCAAGCATATCATTAACATGAGGGAGTTGAGTTGATTGCGGAGATTGAGACTGTTGATCTAATTCATTTGATTCTCTTTCTACATTTAAGAAAAAGATCAAATCAGGGCATAACAAGTGCACATAACTAGCTTTACACCAATTGAGGTCTAAACCTGCCGAAGCAGAAGCAGCAATCGATGAGTAAACATATTTATCCACTATCAAAGTTGTGCCATTAATTAGATGTTCTTTCATTATAGGCATAAGTTCCCACCAATGAGCAGCAACAAGTAAATGAAGAGTCTTTGGATGTGGTTGACGATTATTTGATCTATAAGCTTTAAGAGCAGTACCCGAAGGAGTTGAGGTATCAGGGAATTTCCACAAACGAGCTTTGATACCTTCATTTTTTAAAAATTCCAATAATTTTGTTGATTGTAAAGCAGTTGTACCATCTTCACAACCTTCAAGAACAATAAGCGCACCACGAGCCGTAGCAGCAGGTGGAGAAGGAGTATTAGGCAAAATCATTGTAGGTTGTGTGGGTGGTAATAATTGCATTGGAGGAGCACCTAAAGTATGTGGAGGAGGTAAACGTGTCGTAATTTGCGATGAAGTAGAATTTTGTCTCTGAGGAGAAGTGGACATCTTTGATTTGAATGCATCCGGAGTAGGCGATTTTTTATTGTTCGATTTATTACGTTCTGTTTAATGAGTATATATATATGTATATAAAAAAAAAAACGTGAATAAATGAATGTATCAATAAAATTTTATTTCATAATTATTTCATAATAATTTATAATCACCTATTTTATTCAATTCTTTTGAACCACGCTCAATTATTATGATTGATTTCCTTTGAGAAGAAGTTATATCTGTCAACTCACGTGAATCATGGGAATCATTAATAGGGATATCATCAGCAATACTGGATTTTCTTTGAAAAGAATTAGAAATCTCCATAACGAAATTATCCATATTTGGTTTCACATGATCATTAATATTACGACGAGAGCCGGTATCAAAATCACCTACATTATCGAGTTTAGTAGGAGCACCAGGACCCTTTAATGGTTTTTTAAAAGTTGGACCAACCACTCTTCTTCTAGGTTGATATTTATAATCAGGCCAAGCTTTCATATGACGTTCTTTTGCTTCTTCAGCTTTTCTTTTCCATTCATCTTTTTCATGATCAGATAAATTTCTCCAATGATCAGCTATTATACGAGAAATTTCGGAATTATTAATTCCAGGATGTTGATTAAGAATAAGAGGATGATGATGTTGACGATATAAAATAAAAGAATTTGGAGGACGAGGAATGTAAGGTTTTTTACGATTTTGTTTTGAAGAAAAGGTAATATTTGCATTGGAATTTGTTGGAGAAGTAGCGGAAGGGGAATCATCAGAAGCTTGATCATCAAGAATCATTTCGTCAAATCCTGAAGAAGGAACCGGAGAAGGAGGTATAGAACCATTCAAAGTGGTGACGTCATCAGTTTCATCAATAATAGAAGTTGCAGAGATAGGAGTATTTGATACGGAAGTAGTTGAAGAGGATTTATGTACATTTTTACGTTGCCTTTTTGAAGAATCAGAAATACGTTTATTTTTAGATATATCATCATCAGCATCGTGACCACCTTTTCTTTTCTTTTTAGTGGTAGTAGGCGAAGAAAAATCGGAGTTATTTGTGTTATGAAATTCTATACTAATAAACCTTGGTTCATTTAATATGGAAACATTATTACGAGGAGTTTCAGGTGATGGGGAGATTGATCTACTACTAATTTGTGATGTAGGAGAAACAGAGGAATGATGATCGTCATCATGATTGATCAGATTTGAAATACTAGCAGCCGAACGAGCATTATCAATAGAAAGAGGGAGTAGTGAAGGAGAAGTATCATTAGTTATCGGAGAAGAAAGATAATTATCGGCAGAATTGTGACGTTGATTTCGTAAATTCCGTTGCTGTGGTAATAATTCATCAATCTCATCTTCATCGCTGTCATTATTGTTATTATTAGAAGTGAATACAGAAGCAAATGAAGGTAAAGAAGAATCAACTTTTAGAGAATCAATAGAATTTTGTAGAGGAGTTGTAGGAGATGATAAAGGAGGAGAAGAAGGTTGACGATTATCTTCTTTAACCAGGCCGATATTAGACGATGTGGAAGTTGTAGAAACAGGAGGAGTTGTTGGCGCAGCAGAATCGTGTCCGTGATGGTTGTGAGATGACATTTCGAAAAAGAAGCAAATTACTTATAACGACTATTGTGTGAAATTAAATTTTCAGAAGGAAGGATTTTCGAAAGAAAAAAAAAAAAAAATGTCAGTCAATTCTTTTTTTTTTTTTTTCGTTGCGAACGGTCTTGATAAGGTAATTTAAAAGAAAAAAAAAAGAAGAATGACAGGTCTTAAACAACGAGGAAAAATGAGAACAAAGGAAGAAAAGTTAACAATTATTATATTAATATTTCACCCTTTGTCTGTTTCAAAAAATTAAACTATGACGAAACTAGAACGAAAATGACATCTCCTTTCCGTAATAATAAGGTAATCGAATCATAAAAACTAAAATTCATTTAACCATTGACAATTGAAATCTTATTATAAAAGAAGTTTTTATCCAAAGCCGACAACATGGAATTTTGAAAGGAATACGAATACAATACTTGATCATGTGTAAATGAGAATGAAAGAAAGAAATAATGGGAGAAATTAAAATTGAATTTAATAGGAAAGAACGAAAGGGGGAGGAAGATAAAATGATAAAATGTGATAAAATGTGATAAAATGTAATAATTGCACCAATTAATGTTTTTCAACATCTTGTGTTGTTGCTAAATTAATACGTATGCGTTATGTCAACATCGAGGGATACAGTAGTAATTGTGTAATCACACTATCATAATTCATAATTCATAATTCATAGTGTTCAAGATTAAGGCATAAATGATTGAATATAAAAAATACATACCAACTACGTAAGATGAATTTTTTTTTAATAACGATATTGATAACTTCTTTTTTTTTTTAACTCGTAATCTCGTAATCTCGTAATATTTGGCGTTAAGATATTCTTATTCACAGATTGATCAAAAGAACTGCAGATAAAAAATAAGTAAAAAGATCAAAAAGAAGATCAAAAGACGTGGAAAATATTGAAAGTTTAGAAAAATTGTTGAATGTTTTTAGAAAGATGGAAGTTGAAGGACAAAAAGAAGAAAGGGGGAATACATATGATTGTCAGTAATAGCTCAAAGAAAGAAAAACCTTAAATTCATATTCTAAACAAAGGATAAAATCGCATGTATAAGAAACAAAGGATCGTGGCCAAATCGGATTATTTTCATCGTGATTGAATTCTAAAACATTGTCTGCAATTCCCCTTTATGTCTTTCACGACCTTCTGTGAAAATGACGTTTTATTCTAAAAACGACATATACATTTGCCTACCTTCTTTATTGCAGTCTAAAAAAGTTTCTCAAGAATTTCTCAGGAATTTCTCAAAAGTTTTAGTTCAAGAAAGATCGTTCGAAAAAAGAATTAGAGAAAAAAATTAAAGAGGAATTGGTATTTCGTGAAATTACAATCAATATCGATATACGAAAAAAAAGTAGTTTTTTTTCCCAGTGTATATAGTATATATATATAGAGTATATATATATACGTACGTAGGTGTTTTTTTTTTTTTTTAACAAGTCATAAAATAATAATAATAATAATAATAATAATAATAATAATAAATAAAAAAAGGGGGGAAAACACACTACGGACAATTGAACACTTGATGTATTTATACAAAAATAGATGAATAATGAAAAAAGATTTGTTCGTTATAAGAATCTGCCGAACTTTATTCATTTTAGATTAAAAGTATATTTATTTATGAAGTTATTGTCTTTGACACTGTTTCCGCATATATTAAAGTTTTGTTATTTTTCCATTTTTTCCACGAGATCACAGTATAATTATTTATACAGAATATTAAACTATATTTAAATATATACATAAAATGGGTACAAAACTGAAGTTTTTTTAGATTACCTGTTACAATTATTTATATTAGATAATGGCGGCTGATGATACTTAGGGTATCCAACCAGTTTTGTTAGAAAGTTTATTGAAACATGAATGAATGGACAGATAAACAAAAAAGATAATTTTGGAATCTGTGTGTGGATCACAAAAAGTTAGTTTTTTGAATCGTATGTGCAACTTATTCATTTTATTCATTTATCATTTTTTTTTTTTTTTATCATTTACAATATTTATTGGATTATCGTTATTGGATTATCGTTATTGGATGTCGTTATTGGATATCGTTATTGGGTTTAGGAATATTAGGTTAAAAAACCAGTTCATATAACGACAATAACGAATGTCTGATATAATGAATATAACGAAATATATATATATTGATATGTATTACCAATATGAATATGAATACGTATATATTAATATAATATGTGTATATATACGGTAGATATATATATATATATATATATATACATATATATATATATATATATATATATATACATATATATATATATATGTATACGTATCTATGTTTATATACTATCAGCTATATACGTGTATATATATATATATATATATATGTTTATACACTATATATATGTATCTGATACTTATATATACTTGTATCATATAGATATATACGTATATTCATAGATATAATCGTATCATATAATAATAATAATAATAATAATAATCATACCAATACGTACGCACGCACGCACGCACGCACGCACGCAAGTATATTCATAATTTTCATAATATATTATAATGATAAATTGATGATAGCGAACAATAAAACCTAAAATTAATCCGATATCGTGACTTTAAAAAATAATAAGGAAGGCTAAAGACCAATTAATTAAGAGTAATACGATGTACAATGATGAAACAATATTCATGTACGTACCAATCAAAGATTAATAAGATGAATCAACTAGGTACTTTAATTAGTAATGACGATAATTATAAATGTATATCAATCTGTCAAAAAGAACATTTAATCTACGCAGAAAGAGTTACTAAAAAAAGAATCTAGAAGGAATCCAGGGGTGGGGAGTTTTTTACAATATTTAACAATAGATTTTAAAACAAACGATTAAAAAACAATATGAGAGAAAAGTTTTGCAAACTACGTTGAAATTTGATTTATTGTTTCCCTGATCATGTACGTATTTATATATGATTAATAAGAAATAAAATAATCAAAGTCCGTTAGAGTTACCCATTGCGTTACTCATTGCAGTTACTCATTGCAGTCACCCATTGCAGTCACCGCAATCAGTTACAGTTATCCGTTACGGTTATCCGTCGTCGCAGTTATCCGTTGCAGTTATCCGTGCAGTTATCCGTTGCAGTTATCCGTTGCAGTTATCTGTCGCATGGTTCACAGTTATTTGATTAAATATGATTAAATATGATTATTAAATATGAATTAACACAATGAAATAAAACCATCTTTAGAAATAATCATTCATTCTTGGGATTGGTGCAAACTATAAACCCAGCCTAAACTTTAAGATAAAAAATGTGAGCGGGGTAATGAAACAATAGACTTTTTTAATGATGGAAATGATATAGATCTCATGATAATACGACAAAAATAAGAACGGGTAAATTTAATATTTAGAAAAGTTTATACAAATATGGAAACTAAGATAAGAGGAACAACTTTAGGGTGCTTTTTTCAAACAAAAGACTTCTTGAATTAGTTTGTTTTAAAACTAAAAAGCATGATCGACGATGTGATAATAAAAGTTATTGTTTGATGGTTATACAGAAGATATACGTACACATACGTACGTACGTACGTACGTACTTTTAAGTACGTACGTAAGTATTTCGTATTTGTAAAGACGGACGTACATAAGTACCGTAAAGATTGACAATACTTCGGAAATATCACGAAAAAGTAATTTACTTGTTTAATACTTTAGTTCGGTCCGAGAAGGGCGTAAATACTTGAAGCGTATTTAGTATGTTATATTTAGTATGTTATACGAATTAGTCAATTATTAGTACAAATTGATTTATTAGTATATACAAATGATTAATAATTAAGGAGTTGTAAATGATAAAAATGATAAAAAGTGGCGGTAAGGCCAAGTATTCTCATTTATATATGATTTGTTAATCCTGTTTTTCGGTGAACAAAATTTTCAAAAATGTAAAAGAAGGATCTTTAATCATTATTATTACGTAGTATATATATAATTATTAACACTTATTAGCGCTTCTTAGCACTTATTAGCAACTATTAGCAATGATTAGCATTAGCATTAGTAATATTAGTGTTAGCGTTATTAATTATTAGTGTAATTATTGAATTTTTAGTGTTATTATTAGTGTTATTAGTAGTGTTATTTTATTATTAGTGTTATTTTATTATTAGTGTTATTTTATTATTAGTGTTATTTTATTAGTGTTAGCGTTAACAATTATCAGATTATTAGATTGTATTAGATTGTATGTATTAGATTATTAGATTAGTAGGTAATTAATTGACATAGCAATTTATGATCTGTATATGATAATTATAATCGATATTAAGACTAGGATAAAGAAGGTAAACAATGCGGAACTCATATTTCTTTTAATTATAGTCATGAAAAAGAAAATGGTTAGTATTAAACGGCGTATTTTTGTAATCTAAAGGCTCGTGCGCAAACTGAAGACGGAATATAAAAATGCATGAAAATAAATCATATGACAAATAATTTCCATAAATGTAAAACAAATCAATAGTTTTTCCAAAATAAAGTTTTTTTTTATCGGCTTTCTCAAAGAAAACAATGTCACCTTCTCAAGTATCGGCTTTGCAGAAGCGAGTCGGATCACTTCCTGTAATCTCGGGCATAAAAAATGGGTTCTATGAGGCAAGCGTGGCATAATTTTTTTTATCTATTTATTATAATTATGTATTATTTAATTATTTAATTATTTAATTATGTAATTGTCGTAATTATTCTAACTATCTTACTAATTATTCTTAATTATTTATGGTTAATTTACCTATTACATATTATATAATATATTATAGAAGTTTGGCAAACAAAATGATTTACCGCCAAATCGTAAGGTGTGATAAGGTTTTAAGTTTATTTTTAATCATATATTACAGATATTACAGATATTACAGATATTACAGATATTACGGTATTACATCACAGTTTCCATTAACGAATTGCCTTTTTTGTTT